GCCACCGCACGGGGACAGCAGCGGCTCGTCCCCTCCTCCCCGGAGCCTGGAGCCTGTCCCCTCCCGCCCCGCGGCCTCTGTCCCCTCGTCTCCCATGGTCCCTGCCCCCTGCCAGGGCCCAGGGGCTGTCCCTGCTGTCCCTGTCCCTGCTGTCCCTGTCCCCTTTTGTCCCTGTCCCCTTCTGTCCCTGTCCTTGCTGTCCCTGTCCCCTTCTGTCCCTGTCCCTGCTGTCCCTCTCCACTGCTGTCCCTGTCCCTGTCCCTGTCCCCGTCGCTGTCCCTGTCCCTGCTGTCCCAGACCTCGAGAACAGGGTGGTGGCACAGTGCCACCCCCTCCGTCCCCCCTGCGCTGTCACCGTCCTGGGTGGGACCCGTCACCTCCCCTCCAGCCACGGACACAGGGTCAGGTCCCAGGGGACACCGGGGACACCGGGGGACACCGAGGGACACCGAGGGGCACGCGGCTCCGTGCTGAGCCATTGTCCCCATTCCCGACGCCACAGCCCCAGCGCTGTGTCACCTCCGCACCTCTTCCCGAGGCGTGGGGACACCCCAGCCCCCCGTGTGTGTCCCCTGCTGTCCCCAGGGCTGTCACATGGCGTCCCCCGCCCACAGCGACACCTTGTCCCCAGGCGCGGTGACAAACGGGGCCGAGCGGAGCAGAGCAGCGTCAACTCCTGTCACCCTTGTGGCCTTGTCCCCGGTGCCATCTCCTGTCCCTGGTGTCACCTCTTGTCCCCAGTGCCACCTCTTGTCCCTGGTGCCATCTCCTGTCCCCAGTGCCACCTCTTGTCACCCTCGTGGCCTCGTCCCCCGTGCCACCCGCCCGGTCCCTCCCAGCGCTTTTGCTCTCGGGGTTTTTTTGTCACCCCTGGAGCGAGCAGGTGACACCAGGGCCACCCCCTCCGGCAGGGGACCCCTCCACCCCGCTCCGGGTTTGGGGTTTGGGGCAGGGTTTAGGGCAGGGTTTGGGACAGGGAAGGGTTTGGGGCAGGGTTTGGGACAGGGAAGGGTTTGGGGTGAGCAGCTCGTCCTTTGTGGGGTCTCTGCCCCCCATGAGCCCGTGGTGTGGGGCCGGGGCTGTGGGGCCGGGGCTGGGGACAATGAGGGGACGTTGTCACCTCCCCGCGGTGCCCGAGCCCGCCCGGGAAAGGGGCCCAGAGCTGCTGCTTCACATCCTGACCCTGAAACTCCCTGCCCCATAGGGATTCTCCTGCCCCATAGGGACCCTCCTGCCCCATAGAGGGGGCTCCATAGACCCCCCCCCTGACCTATAGACCCCACACATATCCCTATAGGAACCTCTGGAGGGAGTCCCCTGCCCCATAGAAAACCCTAGAAGGACCTCTCTGCCCCATAGGACCCACCCTGCCCCATAGTGACCCCCATGTCCTATAGACCCCACAAATCCCCCTGCTCTATAGGGACCCACAGAGGGACCCTCCTGACCCACAGAGACCCCTCCTCTGCCCCATAGGGACCCTCCTGCCCCATAGGGAACCTCCCCTGCCCCACAGAGACCTCTTCCATACCGGGCTCTTCCCCCGCCCCCTCCATTCCCGGTGAGTTTTCCACAGGCTGGGAAATCCCAGCGGTGAAATCCAGGCCGGGAAGGTGACTCAAGGCGGGGCTGGAAACTCATTTTCCTCATAACTGTGTTGAAAACGAGAGCGAGCCTGGAGGGTTTTCCCGCGGGAGAGGAAGGGGTGACCCGGCACAGGTTCGTCACCCCCCGCTGGAATTTGGGGATGCTCCAGATGCTGAGGGAGGATCCAGGATAGACTCTGATGTGAAACTGGAACCTGGTTTTTATTCACCTCCTTGGTTAAACTGAATTTCCTTTCGCTCGTTTATTATTATTATTATTATTATTATTATTATTATTATTATTGTTAATATTAATATTAATATTAATATTAATATTAATATTATTAACATTATTAACATTATTGACATTATTAACATTATTAACATTAACATTAACAGTAACATTAATATTAATATTACTATTAATACTAATATTGTTGTTGTTACTGTTACTGTTACTGTTACTGTTATTACTGTTATTACTGCTATTACTGTTATTGTTATTGTTGTTATTATTATTATTACTATTACCATTATTACTATAACTACTATTAATATTATTACTATTACTATCATTATTGTTATTGTTGTTGTTATTATTATTACTATTACTATTATTACTATTATTACAATTACTATTATTGCTATTATTACTATCATTGTTGTTGTTGTTATTATTTTATTTCATTTTATTTATTTTATTTCATTTCATTTTATTATTTTATTATTTTATTTTATTATTTTATTTCATTTTTAATTTAATTTAATTTCATTTCATTTCATTTCTCAGACTTGAAAGCTGCCAGTCTTTTGCGGGTTTTTGGGGCTGTCCCGCGGGGATCTGGGGTTGGGAATCCACGGCTGGAAAGGGCAAATTGTGAGGAGAGGGAGGAGAATTCCTCGTGGGATTATCCCGAATTTAAATCTCCCAGGGTTCTCATCTCCCTTTTCCCAGCTGGATCCCTCCCTGTCCCAGCCCGGAGCAGCCGAGGGACAGAACCCGGGACAAATCCCGGGATCCTCGGGAAAACCGGGATCGGCAGCAGAGAATCCCTAAAAACAGAGCTCCCCCATCCCCCCTGGGAAAACCAGTCTGACACGGGGCGACAGCAGCTGGGAACGAGCCGGGAGCGAGCCGGGAACGAGCCGGGA